GGGGGGGGGGGGGGGGGGGGCGGTGAGGGGATATCTACTTACAATCTTGCCACTAGCTTTACACATAACATGCATGAATCCTTTAGACTCCGGGTGCCACTCGAACTTGTACAGTGGTGTGGGCTCAGCTTTTAGCAGATTTTGGGGACAATATCTCAATGGCATTTCTGGCACAACCACATAGTGTTCTGTAACTGGGAAAGAATGCACCCAACCGGGGGCAGGTCCACCCCTACACCCCACCCTACCAATAATTTTCCTTTCATTTGTGCCTGGTTCCATTCTTACAACCAAGTACCCAGGATTGATCAAATCTGGCAATAACGTTAAAAACTCAGACTCTGTCACAATTGGATGAGCAGAATGTATTAAGCCCCCTAATGAGTCACTGTACTCAAACTTTCCTATTGTGTCCAAAGTGTTTGGATCAATAACAATTGACCCTTTGATTGTTTCTGTTAGACAAACAACCCGACCGTCGCCGAGTGTAACGACACCAGTGTTAGCGTTGTCCGTCAGCGATGCACCGGAGAATAAGTTGGCTAGATCACCAATGCAGGATAGGAAGTTGTCAGGTTTAGGGACTTCAGAAAATTCTCTATAGCAAAGCTTTTTATTCTTCTTGGCTGCCTTGTATGCCTCGGATTCGATTTGCCGGTGTCCCATCACGACACGGCCATATTCGAAGTGCAGCCGGACTAGCGTTGCATAGCCGTCGAACAGGTGCCGGAAACCGTAATCTCCTATGTGCCAAAGACCTGGACCGTTCCTCAGGTATGTTCCACTCTGCACAAAAATTATCAACTGGTTAGTGTCAAGCGAGAGCCTCACTTTTTCAAAATTACCATTAAACGACAAACTTAGTGTGGGCTCTTCTTAACTTCTACCATAACAAAAGTTCTCTTTAAAAAAATTAGCCAATTATCAAAGCTACATTAATTATTGTTTTAGGGTTAATGAAGACAGAATATTTTTTTAAATTAATTATGCATTAAATTATATATTTGTAACGAGACTCTTTCACCTACTCCATCTGTACTCATCAGAGACACGAATAATTAATTAAAGTTTTATCTGTCAAGATTTGCTGATATATAAAACATTACTATTTATATATTCTTAACAAGTTTATTCAATAAATATTGATGTTCACTGGCAAATCTATCTTGGAGCTTGACACAAAAATGTTTTAAAAAGAGAGAAAATAGTGAATTACAAAGAGAATAAAATCCTTTTTGGGAGAGCAGAGATAGTGAATTTGATGAAACCCTTTTTCGAGCAAGGTGCTGCTAGATAGATTCAATAGAATTTAATCACAATAAGTGTGTGTGTGTGTGTATAAAACATAATTACCAGCCACAGTGGTATTTCTCCTTGAACGCTAAGCTCTCCTTGCCACCGCTCCTGCCTCACGCTACTCCACGCTGCAAGCTTGCTATCGTTTGGGGCGTCCTTCTCTGGTGACGGAGGAACAACTGCTGTCTGCGGTTTGGTAGCAACATTCATAATAGTTAACCCCATATTGTTGTTGGAATAAACACTTTTTGAATACTTAATTTTCCCAAAAATGGATTTTTCATCCTTTGAACAATCACAACACCCATCAAGAATCCTTAATTGGGTCGAAAAACTATAAGATTTGGAGACAGAAAATGCTAGAGAAGCCATTTATGAAGGTTACTAGCTAGCTAGGGTTGTGTAGTGTTTCTAATTTACACGTGACAGGAACATATATTTTGAAGAAAATAAGGATGCTTGCATGTAAATTTATAGAGTAATGCTATTCATCTTTACTGGGTTACAAACACAGTTTAGGAGCTACCTAAACTATGTACCTAAATTGTGTTTGTAACCTCAATAGGGATGAATAACATTATTCAAATTTATATAGGGGCCTAGGATGCTAGGTGTATATCATGTGTGTTCAATTTAGTGGAATCTTGATTGGTGGAAATCCTCTTGCACTAGAAGACAACTTATATTCCGTTTACAAGATTCCAACATTTAAAACTCGTTTTACACCAGATTCATTTGTATTCACACATTTTTCAATAAAATAATTTTACAGTAAATCCAATTTTTTTTAATTTCTTTATCAAACAAAATAATATCACTTTTTATAAAATCTATTTTTAGCTCATGTTTTTAGTCTATAAT